AAAACTGGCTGTGTCTATAGTATTATAGACTACACAATATTATTAGACTATATTATTTTTAAATACATTTTTAAATGATTATTATTTTTAAATTATTGTCCCTGGATCAGTAGGATACTCTTGTAACAAAGTAGCGGTGGTAGATGACAGATTTTAAGCATCAATTCTGCTTAAAAAGATGCAATATAATCCTGTTTACATGAAATAAGCCGCTCCCGAGCAGGTTTAAGCTTACGGACCTGTTGCTATGACAGCAACTCCAGGATGAGCTTCGAAGAACCAAACAATCCAAGATCATGCCAAATCGTCAACAATCAAATCCAGCTAACTGAGTTAGCGACGTACGAAGAACGGGCCCCAGAGATGTTTAAATAAGTCCATCTTCGTCACATGACACAAACACTGAACTAAACTATAGCTATAAATAACTATAAATATAGGCTCAACTGCCCACAAAAGTAGACAGTAAAGAAAAAAAAAAGTTGGTTTCACTTTATTTTGATGGTCCCTTTAACACATTCTGTTGACTATAAGTAGCGTTGCACCTACATGTCTACTAACTCTCATTAGAGTATTAGTAGAGTATTAGTAGACTGGTAGGGTTAGGGTTAGAATAAGTTGACATGTACTTGCAAAGTTACTTATAGTCAGTAGAATGTCTGCTGGGAGACCATGACAATAAAGAGTTAGCAGATATTAAGTAAACAGTCTACCAAAACTCTGATGAGAGTTAGTAGACATGTAGGTGCAATATTAATTATTGTCAACAGAATGTTCAAAAGGGACCATCAAAATAAAGTGTTACCAAAAAGTTATGTACACATACACTTGCACATTTAAAAGCTTAAATGGAAAACATCCTGTTTTTTTTTTTTCTTCAGAATAATGACCAGCCTTTAGTAGAAGGGAGCAACTCCAAAGCTTATGAAAAAACGGACATGATTGAAACACCTGAACCACATGACTCTGATTCATCAGTCAGCAGCACAGGTAACAAAATGATAAGATCAGAATTTTATTTATTTTTTGCTTAAGTGAACCTTGTTCTCATATTGCTGTATACTGATGTGTTTACCAACTTTTCTTTGGTGTTTAAGATCCCAGGTTTTTCAATCTAACCATTATAATAACTGGAAACTCTTCATCAGTCCAGTTTGGACATGAAAACGTTCTACTGGGAGAAAAACATCCAAATAATGAAAATGCAGAAATATACAGGATTATTCCTTTACAGAAGAAGATATCAGAACATCACGTCACTGTGATCAACATGATTGACTTACATGAGACTGAACAAGTGGATCATCTAATCGATCAACTTATGCATGAGAATGCAATTCACGTCTTCATATTTGTTGTGCGACTGGGTCAGTTAACAGATGCTGATAAGATGGGTCTTGAATGGCTTCAGAGAGTGTTTGGCGACAAAGTTCTTCAGTTTGTGATGATTCTCTTCACCCATGCGAGAGAGGAAGAGTGTGACACTATAATTGATGATCTGAAGAAAAACCCTGTTCTGGAGCAGCTGCTGGAGAAATGTGGAGGAAGATATGAGACCTGCAACAAGATGATGAACAACCAATCAGAGATGAGAGACCTGATGAAGAAGATTGAGCGTATGTTTAATGAGAATAATCATCGACGCTATACTGGGGAGATGTTCAACACTGCATTAATAAAGAGAAAAGAGCTGGAAAACAGTGAACATAAAAGTAAGAAAACCGTTTCTGTATTTCCCCTGTTTACCCCAAATATTTATCTAACATTCTTATTCAAAAATCACTAATGGTATAGACACATTTGTGGATAGAGATGCATGATATATATGAGTTCAAATTTCATTGGTTTAAATTAGTTGTTTAGTAGATTACAGTAGCTCTTTGTCATTATTGTTATAAGTAAACAATCAACTAGTAGTAAGTAATATGCTGATACTGACCTCTAGAGGTGATATTTGAAAAGAGACAATAGTCAAAAAAAAAAAAAAGGTCCTCCACAATCCAGAGGATATGCAGTAGTGATCAGAGTCACACAACTTCTTTCCCATCACAACCAATTTTCTTACTATCTACTTAGAAATTAACATATTGTAATCACAGATAAGTACTTTACCTTTAACTAATGAATGACAAGAAAAATAAATTATATACTCTATTAGTAAAATTATTTATGCCTTAAGAACAATTCTTTATTCCAGAAATAGAACCTTCAATCAATGAAGAAACAAGGAAGTCAGCCACAAAAACAGAGACAAGAGAGCCACATGGGGTAAGAGGACATTAATGTTTGCTGCTTGATAGAGCATGATGGGAAGCAAGGAGAATAATGCTAAATACATTTGTAAAATCTTCTAGGACTATTAATTATTATGGTTGATTAAGGAATGTATTAATTACAAACAAAAACAAACAAACAATAAATAAATACATATTTCTCATTTTAGTAGACTATTGTGCTCCCAATTGTTATAAATATTCTGTCTATCTGTGTTTAGACAAATCTTCAAGTTATGGGATTAAAACAAATATCTTTAAAGGAAATGAAGCATGTGATTTCGGATTGGATTAAATCACATGCTTCATTTCCTTTAAAGATATTTGTTTTAATCCCATAACTTGAAGATTTGTCTAAACACAGATAGACAGAATATTTGTGACAATTTGGAGCACAATTATTGTCCCAGTTATGTATGTTTTGTTGTGTTTAGTTTTAATCAGTTCCTCAAGTGTTCCCTTAGTTGTTTATCACCTTCACCTGTCTACCCCTCATTAGCCTCATTATGTAAACTCCCTCTTCAGTTCTAGACTTTCTCCCTGTTAGTTCCTCACGGTTGCTGATGCGGATTTACTGATCTTCTGTGTCATTTGGAATAAATTCCCTGTTTAAAACTATCTTCTACCTAGCAGTAGCACAGTAGTGGCTCCTGACTGTAAATTTAGGTTGGGCAGATTCTGGGTCGTAGCGCTAGTTTATAATAAACTCAATGTTTATAGTCCTCATCAGTGCCGATCCTAGACTTCTGGGGGCCCTACGCAAAACTGTGTCATTGGAGTGAGGTATGAGTGGTTATGAACTAATGAATGAAATGCATTTGTCTGTTTCACCATGGCAACAGTACCCGACAAAAAGACGTCTGCGTGCTTCAGAGTCAATACAAGTTAATTCTTATCACTGTTATAATATCACAGGTGCACAATTGGCAGAACGGTAGGTTATTGAACTAATAGGCTATTCATTTTCATGGTATCCCACGGGCAAAAACAATATATAAAATAATAATAAGTGCATTTTTCTTATTTTACAAATGATCTGCCAATAGGGTAAAAAAAATACAGCAGTGGCTATTTACACTAAGTGGAATTAGCATAGGCCTACTTTCTTAGCGATATATCCTAGTTACACTTAGTGAAAATAGTGATATATTCTATTTACCATGTCAAGTCAAGTCACCTTTATTTATATAGCGCTTTTAACAATACAGATTGTGTCAAAGCAACTGTACAACATTAATTAGGAAAATAGTGTGACAATAATGCAAAGTGACAATAGTAAACACTAATTTTTCAGTTAAAGGCAGTTCATCATTGAATTCAGTGATGTCATCATCCAGCTCAGTTCAGTTTAAATAGTATCTTTGCAATCATTTGCAATCAAGTCCTGGAAATGAAGTGTCCCCAACTAAGCAAGCCAGAGCAACCAAAACTCCATCGGTGACAGAATGGAGAAAAAACCTTCGGAGAAACCAGGCTCAGTCGGGTGGCCAGTTCTCCTCCGGCCAGAAGAACCAGCAGGTTGATCCATGCTGCAGCAAGGGGGCTCATCTATAATAATAATAATCTATAAAAATGTATAACAATAAAGCACCCTGATCCTGTCACTTTTGTCAGAGCTGTCAAACTTCACACCATTACATCACATCAAAGTCCACCTCCTGCCTCCATCCTCCCAGCATTCCGAAGAAGGCCATTGTTTGGGACTGAATGCCTCTGCCATGTAGGGTAAAGCCCCCTCCTGATGAACGAAGTTCCCCTCTGCAGAGGCTAAACAACCACAGAGGCTGTCCCTCTCTAGCACACACACCTTCATCATTTATATAGCGCTTTACCATAGATTTATATTGTTTTCACATAAAGATAGTTCTGACTATTACAAACTAACCTTAACCCAAAAGAAAACTATTTTCATAATAATAATAACATTAAAACTAACTATCTGTCCGTCTGTCTTTTCTCTATATTTGAGGACCTAAAAGAAAGCTTTATCTGATTTAGCAAAATTCTACATTCTTCAGCAATTTTATCCCTAAAAGTATGACTAGGTCAGAAGCAAACTCGTGCTCTATGCACCCACTGTAGTCTGGAGCGCTCTTCCATATATGGACAAACTTCCAAGCGGCGAATGTTTGGGAAAGTGACGTCACGGGTTAAGCGCACAGACAGTGAGATCTTATTCTCAAAGCTGCTTCTTAATCAAAGCTTTAAAACTTTCGCCAATTTAAATAAAACCTTTGTTCAACTTATGACAAACTTATTTATGTGTTCGCCTCCATTATATTTCGCTCACACGTTAAGATGGTTACACTTTATTTCGATAGTCCACTTTAGACATTCTATTAACTATAAGTAACTTTGTAACTACATGTCAACTAATTCTCATTAATTTGCAACTGCATGTCTACTAACTCTCAGAGTAGACTGTTAGGGTAGGTTTAGGGTTAGTAGAATAAGTTGACAAAGAAAGTGTTAGAAGATATTAAGCAGACAATCTACTAATACTCTACTAACTGATAGTTGACATGTAGTTGCAAAGTTACCTACTGTTAATAGAATGTCTAAAGTGGACTATCGAAATAAAGTGTAACCCAAA